GGAGGCAGTTTACTGCGTCCTTTCCAGTTTATTGCCTTTTGTGTCCAAGCTTCCTATGCAAACCTCTCCTGCAGTGATGAGTACAAGCGGTGCGAGTGGATGTCTGTCTTGCTCTTGATGGAAGAGGGGATGAGTCATTCTATCGAGTACAGTGTCTGCTGCCAGTTTTAGATGTCTCTTGTCAGAATGAGAGCATCCCCATCTATTCCTGCTTGTAGTGTTTGTTTTGTTTAATCATGAAAGGTATTGGATTTTGTGACTTTTTTCCCTGTCTCAGAGACAACAGTGCTGTGCTGTTCCTTTCTCTTTCTTGATCTTTATTCCTATAGACAGGAACTGCAGCCCAAGCTTGCATTAAATTCACCATGACCCTGATCTTCCTTTTTTCCTTCAGCTTTATTCTTGTGTATATAATATGATACCTGTGTGTGTGAGTGTGAGCATGCATGTGCCATGGCACATACATGGAGGTCAGAGGACAGTTTTCAAGGGCGGGTGTCTCTCTACTGTGGGTTCCAGAGACTGAACCCAGGTAGTCAGGTTCAACACACAAGCCTTTTATGCACTGAGCCATTTCACCCCCTGAATATGCGATTTTTTAAAACTGGTTAAAAGGATGTCGGGGGACTGGGGAAATGGCTCAGTAGGTAAAGGTGCTTGCTACCACCCTGACCACTTGAGTTTGATTCCTGGGACCCATGTGATAGAAGGAGAGAACCAACTCCTTCAAGTTGCCCTCTGACCTCCACATGTATGCCAGGGCACATGTGCCCACACATGTATATACACAAATAAGTGTAATTAAAAAAAAAGATTGGGGAGTGGGTAAGATGGCTCTGGAGCAAAGTGCTTGCTGCCAAGCCTGAGTTTGATCCCTGGAGCCCAGACGGTGGAGAGAACCAGTTCCCTCAAACTGTTCTCTGACCTCTATATGTATGCCGTGGCATGAACCTTCATTCTCAGTGAATAACATGTTTAAAAAAAAAGTTGGCTGGGTGGTGGTGTCGCACAAATCAATCTACAGATTACTTATTTATTGATGAGAGGCTGCTCTTCCAGAGGACCTGAGTCCAGTTCCCAGCACACACATACCTCCTGTAACTCAAAGTTCCGGGGGATCCAACTCCCTTTTCTAACCTCCATGGGCTTTGAGAACTCATGGGTGTACAGATAAACATGCAGGCAAAATACTCATGCACATAAAGCAAAAATAAATGAGAGAGGAGAGAGAGAGAGAGAGAGAGAGAGAGAGAGAGAGAGAGAGAGAGAGAGAGAGAGAGAGAGAAAGAGAGATATAAGAGAGGCTACCCTGACAGGAAGGTCCAAGCAGATGTCTCCTTAGCCCAGGACCAAGTTCCAAAGCCTGCTAGCCAAGGGTTTCTTTGTGTCTCTGTACATGATGCTAAGCCAAGTAGGAGAAGACAGCTGAGTAGCACTTTCCAAAAAGGTTGAACCTAGATCCAAGTAAGATACAGCCAAATTGTGGCCACACTGTGGGGCATTCTACAGTGCAGCTTCATGGATTCCTGTACCCAAGCTAGGACTGTACACAATTTAAGGAGACTTGGTGGTTTACGTGCAGTGTTTGATCCTTGGCTCAGCCCTGGGAGAAAAGGGTCGTGTGTAGGACAGCTGGGAAAATGTGAATGTGAACTGTATGTTAGGTACTAGATTGCACTACAGTGAAGTTCCTTGCGTGGTTGTGGTATTGTGGCTATCTAAGACAATGTCTGTGTTCTTCAGAGACAAAGGCTGAAATGTTTATAGATAAAATCTAAATGATTCAGCAAAAAGTAAGATATGTGAGAGAAATGTGATTGAGATGGAAGGGTATCTGGATATTCATTTACTCCTTCTAACCTCCCTGTAGGATTGGAGATTTTTTTCACATAACGTTGTGGCTCTTTCTAAGTGTGTATTGGCAACTCAAGTTCCCTGTGTGTCCCTCCCTCTCACAACTTCTCCTTAGATCACGCAGAACAGGCACTTCCGAACAACAGGGTGAACACACTCTTGAAGTATAATACCCAACTTTCTATTTTCCATGATACCATTGTACTATTTGAGTAATGGACAAATTGGGTCATGATAGATCACACCTTTAATTCTGGCCCAACACCACTTAGTCCCCTTTGTTCACGCAGTTGGTGCAACCTCCTGCATATCCAGTTTACGGCTGCAGGAAAAAGGTTCCTCTGGGAAGGTTCCCGCGGCGCTCACTGGGGTCTACACCTATATGTTTCTGGCACAGACCCAGGCCTCACCTTTTCCATTAGACTTTTGAAAGAAATCCCTTCCTTTCGCCCTATTGCTGTTGGTCCCAATCCATTTTTATACCCTGTAGGCTTTAATGGACGCTGTAACAATACGCGACACACAATTACTGACAGTAAAGCTAAGTATTTAATATAGAAAATTACTCACAAGATACCAAACCCAGAGGAGCAGTTTTCAGTGGCCGATCCGGAAGCCGATCTCCAGGAAAAGAGACCGAGACTTCCTGTGTGCTGTCTTTTATGCCTTCCCCCCGTAACGCCCCTAGCCATGCCCAAAAGTGGGCCTGGCTAGTGACGTAGTTCCACCTACGTACGTATACGTCTTTAGTCCTGCCTAAAGTGGGTGTGGTTAGCGGTGTGGTAAACCGCCCTTTTATTACCTCATCTGTATGTGCCTCTAATAAGTCACATGTTTAATGGCGGCATCAGACTTCCTCCTACAATACCCCTCTGGTGGTGGCTCATTCCTACCCAAGGCTGCTGCCCCTCGCCGTCTTCCTAATCTCCATTCTCCAGCTCCTGCTGCTGCTACCACTGTTAATCAACCCACCATGCCCGCTGGTCCAGTCTCCACCACGGACCTCATCCTTCAGATGGTCAACGCCTCGGCCCAGGCACTCTCCAACACCACCTATGAGCGCTGCTGGATTTGCTATTCGCCCATCCCTCCATTCTACGAAGGTATTGCAGCCTTCGGCTCACCCATCTACACCAACGACACCAATCTGCTTCGCTGGGGAACGCAGCCACAGCCATGCGGCATGACCTTAGGACAGGTTGTGGGATCTGACTCTGCCTTTTGGGACCACGTATGCTTCCACCCACCCCGCTGTTAGAAGCATGTACTCAAACCATGCAAGTTGCTGCACATGCTTCCTTCCTTATTGCCCCCAACCTCACCTTTTTTTGCTTACTCCACAGGGTTATCCCCGCATATTATTGTAGATGTTTTTCTTGCACACAAGGACGACTGCGTCCTTGTTGTACTCGTGCCCAAATTGACTGTTCACCCTGAATCTGATTTATTGCCCCAAAGTGATCCAACTGTAACTCTCTCTCACCAAAAAAGAGAGCCGGTCACCGCCCTCACATTAGCCATATTGGTTGGTCTGGGTGCAGCAGGAGCTGGCACAGGAATTTACTCCCTAATCCACACAAAGGACTCTGTTAATGCTCTAACCTGCACTGTTGTTAGAGACATAGATGAGCTAAAAAGAGGTTTAGATTACTTAGAACAAACTGTTGGTTCCTTAGCTGAAGTGGTACAACAAAACTGCCGTGGTCACGACCTCGCCTTTTTGCGGGAGGGGGGAGTTTGTGCCGCCCTTAAAGAGGAATGTTGTTTTTTCAAAGACAAATCAGGATTAGTTAGAGACAGTATCAGAAGAGTTGAACAGAGTCTGGAAGAAACAAAAAGAAATTTGGATCAAAGTGAATCTTGGTACAAAAATTGGTTCTCTACCTCCCCCCTGGCTATCGACTTTGCTGCCTAGTTTGTTAGGACCCTTTATTGGCTTTATGTTACTTATTTCCTTTGGTCCTTGGGCATTTCGTTGCCTTACTGGTTTTGTTAAAAATCAGGTTGATGAGGCTACCAAAAATTCAGTTCAGGTTCACTATCAGCAGCTCTCTCAACAAGACCCCGAAGAACCTGAGGCTGTAGACAAACCTACATTCCAACCTTTGAGCTTTCGGGAGTTTGAGTACCTGGCCAACCGCCCGCGTTCACTCTGCTCCAGGCTGTGGAGATGCTTAAGACAGGGATACCTTGGTGCCAGAATCTGGGAGCAAACATGGCCCTCTAAACATTGCCGGCAAAAACTTAATTCGTATCCTCTCTCGCCATGTCCAGAACTGGAAGCCCACCAGGTAACCTAAGACAGGCACTTCACCCAATTGCTCTCTTCTTTTACTATATAGAAAAGGGGGAGATGTTGGGGACTGCTGGAACCTTGAACAAAATGGAGTCTGTCAACCGTTTCTTGGCCTTCTGACTACTTGACTGCAAGCACACATGCCCTTGAGACAAAGAAAAAGGCTAACCATAAAAGTTAAATTTACACAGGGCAGCCCGCCCGCCTAGCCAGGGGGAAGTAACTCTTACAGAGTAATTGTCTTTGTTAACAAAAGATTAAAGTGTTCCCTTGAATACTTCCTACCCCTCCCTAATTCCTGCACCTGACTTACGCTGACAAGCATTTGTGGAATGCAACTGATGACTGATGGAAAATTACAGCTTTGTCTTTACCATATTTGGTGTATATTTGAGTTGAGACTTGATTGACATGCTTGTACCACCCCCTGAGGTTCTCCCTCTATAAGTTCCAGCGTGCCCCAAAAAATAAAGGCTCTGGATCATCGAACGTTGTCTTGAGCCTTCTTCCCTTAACCTCTTGAAGTTTACTTTTCAGATCGGGTCTGCTCATGAAGGCCCACCAAATTAGTAGCGACCCTCATCACCTCATCCCCTCGGGTCGGGGGTCCCTTCCCGGGGGTCGCAGAAACAAAGAAAACAATACAAAGAATCAATGTAACAAAGAGTGGGTTTTTCAAAAAAAATCAACAAGATAGACAAACCTTTATCCAAACTAAACAAAAGGCAGAAAAAGAACATGCAAATTAATAAAACCAGAAATAATAGGGGGAAATAAAACAGACACCAAGGAAATCAGATAATCTTCAGGTCATACTTTGAAAACCACACAATTCAAAAATTTATCGGTTATGGAAATTTTTCTGAATAGATATCACTTATCACAGGAACCCGCCAATGAGAGGCTGGGCCGGGATCTGCAGATGCCAGGTAAGCCCTCACCTGGGGCTGGGCAAGTGGAGACAAAGGTTTCAGCATGGTCAGGGTACCTGCAGTTCCACTGTAGACAAAAACAAAGAAGTATGGCACAAACCCGAAGATTTCGGTCCTGACAGCAGCTGTGGAGAAAATCAATGCAATGTAGAAACAAATATTTTTATTAACAGGAGAAAGCACTTACACACAAGCTTGGAAGATCAGAAGCGTGGTAGCCTTCCGAGAGAGAGAGAGCTTTTTACTTTTTCTTGCCTTAAATATCTCACCTTTTCTATGTACCTTTGTCCACATCCCCTTTGGGCGTGGACAGTATTTTGGGCTCACCCCTACAATGGCGGCCTATATTTCCTGGATAATTTGTCTTAAGGATTTGTTGGAGTTAACATTTTCGTTGGTCTATAAATCCATTTCCTCTAGTATATCTCCAGAACCTGAGATTCTCTCTTCCTTCTTTTGTATTCTGTTGCTAATGCTTGCATTTGTAGTTCCCAATCATTTACCCATATTTTCCATTTCCAGTATTCCCTCAGTTTATGTTACCTATATTGTCTGTATTTCAGTTTTCAGGTCTTAAACTGTTTGAATTGTTTCGATCACCTGTTTGCTTGTCCCCTCCACCCCTTGGCTTTCCTTGGTTTCTTTAAATGATATGGTGATTTTTTTTGCATTTTTTGACTTATCTTTTCCTCCATTTCTTCATTTCTTCAATTTTTTGTCTTTTCTTCAATTTCTTAAGGGATTGTTTCATTTCCTCTCTAAGCATCTCTATCATCTTCATAAAGCTGTTTTTAAGGTCATTGTCTTATGCTTCATTGTGTTGGGTTGTTCAGATGTTGTTGGTATAGAACTCCTAGACTCTGGTGGTGTTATATTACTCTTTATGCTGTTGAATGTGTTTATATACTGTTGTCTTTCCATCTCTTCTTTAAGTGGGTGCAGGTAGGGACTCTCCCAGTGGGCGCAGGGACAAGGTTTCCATGGAGTCAGATTTTGGATGGTTTGGTGTGCACCCAGATCTCTGGGAATTCAGTGGGTGGGATGGGATCAGTCAAAGGCATCCAACGAGGGGGCCAGTGGCCAGGAGAAGGCTCAGCACTCACCTCTCCCAGTGGGTGTGGTGCCAAGTCTCCAATGGTTATAGATGTTTAATGATTTGGATTACCCCCAGGTCTCTGTGGATTTAGAGGGTGGGAAGGGGCTACCTGCCCTGTTCAAGGGCTTCCAATAGGGGGCAAAGAGGATAGGATAAAGTCCTGCACTACCCTTTCTTGGTGGGTGTGGTGCCATGCCTCTGATCCCTATTCAGGCTTTCATTGGGCATCTGCTCTGACTTCTGAAATGTCTGATTTGGCAATTGCACATTAGCTATAAGTTATGGTCATCATGGTTATACCTACACAAATAAACACTGACAATGTTTCAGCATAAACAGAGGGCTGAATTCTAAATATACAAAGAATTCAAGAAGCTAGTCACCAAAACACTAAATAATCCAATTCAAAAGTAGGGTACAGAACTAAATAAAGAATCCTCAATAGAGGAATCTAAAATAGCTAAAAGACACTTAAGAAATTGCTCAACATCCTTAGTCATCATGAAAGGGTTTTTATCTACTTTTATGTACATGGTGTCTGGTTTGAGTCTCTATCAGTTTTCCACAGTGAACCATGATGATGCCTAACAGCAGCATTTGAAGTCTTCAAAAAGAGGATGCCCCCCCACAACAACGATTTCAACAGGACTATGACAACACCATTATGCCAAAAAAGACCAACTAAAGATAAGTTTTGAACGATAAATGCTCATTAAAATTTCGAGGTGATTTGCTGAAATGACCCAGCTTTCACAATCAGAACAGTTTTGGGTGGGCTAGCTGAGGTGATCCAGCCTCAAAGGCTACTTTAGCCATGACTTAGGACAAGCCCTGTACTTGCCCATTATGCAGAGACTGGCCAACAACTGATACAACTTGACAATTAACTCAAATTTTCTTTTCAGGACCTCCTGAAGATGCCATCAACCCCTAGAACACAGAAAGTAACTTTAAAACAAGATTCCCACATTCCCTAAAGGTGGGGTGGGTGGTTTTTGGTCACTCATTGGGCATTGAGTTATGGATATTTGTTTGGGGGGTTGATTGCAAAATGTTGTTGCTTACAAAGGGGAGAAAGGTGAACTAAGATTATTATATTCAAGGTTTTTGTTGTAAAAAAAAAGAGTAGTTCAGATCTCATAGGATAAAAATGATAGCTTATTGAATCTACATTTAAAAAGCAACTACCAGATTTAAATATTTTACATTGAATTGGACTTCTGTATATTGTATGTAAATGATGTATATTGATGCAAATTTGAAATTAATTTTGCTAAAACATAGTTTCTAGTCCTTGAAATTTATTATTACCAACTATATAGAATAATAAGGAAATGTAGTTTAGCAATTTGTCTACTATTACAGTCCAACTTTTAGTCACATTAGGCATGTTTTCAAGGTCAAACAGATATTTTAAACACTTCAGAGATCTACAGAATATAATATGGAATTTAACATGTTTTAATAACATAGGTTCCTTTTTATGGCAATGACACATTTTTGCTTCTGACAGCAACAATTTACACTGGAGAAGATGATGGGCATAGAGAAACCACATTAGAAGTTTACTTTATTTGTGTCAAAGGTAAGGCACTGAGCAAGAAAGTCCCCTTGCCTGAGCTGCTGACATTATACTGTCCAAATACTACAAACAGGATATCAAAATTAGAGACTATAAACCTTGCTGAGACAAGGTGGTCCAGTCCTTTAGAATATCTAGTTCACAGAAATGTCTGTCAAATATGCTAGGCTTATAGACTGAAGACAGATGCCTCTACATTTCAGAGAAATCTTGGGTGACTGTTCAGGCAGCCAGCTGTATTTGTCATTTCTCAAATTTTTTGGAAGTCGTTTGCTTACCCAGTCTGTTTACTCAGTTAATATTATTTCCTTCTTTGGTTTCTAAGGGAGTTGAAGACTAAAGAGTATACTTATAGTTTTTCTTGGTTACCATAATCGATAAAGAAACTCATAATAGATGTTTAAGTGTAATAGGTTTGAAAGACATTAAAAGATAATTTGGTAATATAAGTTAGAATAGAAAGTATATTATATACAAGAATTTGAACTCATCAAGAAAGAATAGTTTATTGAGAATTTTCTCTGAATCCGTCATGTGCTAATGGACTAGGCATTGTTAATATACTTTTTGTCTGTAAATATTGTATATATACATTGTATATAGCTATCATACTTATTGTGTAGTTTTTCTTATATTTGGTATAATATTTTTTTAAATTTTAGACAAGAAAAGAGAATAAGTGGTGAGATTTTGCTTGTACAAATAAAGCCTGTTTGGGGAGTCAGAGAATAGAGCTTGCCACTAGTCAACCATAGAGATCTAGAGGTTTGTACAGACAGAGGGGATGTGAGGTAGCTGGGAAGAAACAAGATATAAGCTAAGAGAAACAGGAACTCACTCTCTCTGTCTGCTGAGATCCTAAGGAGGTAAGGTTTGGCAGTGATTTGCTCCTTCTCTCTAATCACTCAGCAATTTCCTCTGTATCTGACTCTGGGTTTTTATTACTTAGACCAATTAAGAACTCTGCATTCCCAAGAGATAATTTGGGTTTTGGCAATTCAATTATTATTGGTTAGGGAGGTTGGTTACAATTTGTTATTGGTCACAGTAAAAAAAAGCTAAAAATATGGGAATATGGTATGTAAGTGATAAGATAAAAGGGTAAAATACTGAATATACCTTAATTCAAAAATAAATCACTAAATATTTTACGTTGGTATGGACTTTGGTTTCTTGATACAAATTTAAAGTTAATTTTGTTATATATTATATATGCTTCCACTCTCATTTGGTTATTGTATTTATGCATCTTACTTAAAAATGTAATGTATAATTGCAAAAAACAGATTAATAGTTACCTTTTATAATCAATGTTATAGTTATGTTAGGTATGTTTTTAAAGTTATGCACAGATATATTTAAATAGATAAGTGGCCTTCAAACACCACCAAGACTGACAGACTGTGGCATTTCATGTGTCTAGTAGTATAAGCCTTTACATTACAGCAAGACACATCTTGTCCTTATAGTACCAATTTACTTCAAAAGAGGATGATGAGCATCAAAGGACCTCTGAATGAAGTTTACTTTTGGGCAGAAGCTAGTCATTTAGGCAAAGAAAGTGCCCTTGCCTCAATTTCTCACAGTATGTTGTCCAAAGTGCAACAACAAGATGAATAAAAAAGTGACTGCCAAACTTTACCAAGACAAGGTAGGACAGTCCTTTATAATTTCCTGCTTCTCAGAAATGTCTGTCAGACATACTAGACCTGTAAGCCAAATTTGGATGTCAAAGTTACAGAAGAACATTGGGTTATTGTCCAGGCATCCAGATGTCCCTGGTTTTAGGTAACATTACACTCTTTTGGGATCTTTGAGGGAGTTAAAGACTAAATAATTTAACTGATACATTTACTTAGTTATGATAAGATCTAAATTAGGTATAAAACTTTAGACTCAGAAAGATAAGATAGAGTATGTTTTCTAATTTTATGAAATACAAATGAACTGAATGTTGTAACTGTAATCCTTACTTGATAACTGTGTGTGTATGTGTGTGTGTGTAGTCATATGGAAAAGCAGGGTTATGATGAAAATGTGGTATGTAAGATAATACAGATATGTCTATTAAGCATCAATCAATTGTGATTAGATAATATGTATGGTGTATTAAATTATGTGTTATAATATCATAACATGTCTTAGTTCATTAACTAAGTAATACATGCTTATATGCCAGGGAAAATAACATAAGGTATGATATACAGAAATGTATTATGGACTATATAAACTTATGTACAAGAAGTAGCTTAATTAGAATTCAGCTTTGGGTGCTGATGGAGGGGTAAATCTTCCTTCTTGATATCCTCAGAAAATAATGTTTTCATTATTGATTTACAAGAACACAATAAGTTTTATACTGTCAGGATATTTAGGTTAATTTTAGGAAGCTGTCTTCAATTACGCTTGCGATTGGCTTAAAAATAACAATAGTAGCAAAGTAGGTGATTGAGGCTAGCTGACCAATAATGATGAATGGGTATTCTACATGTTGTCCTCCAATTCAGGTTAATAGTAGTATGTCTGCCACTAGGATTCAGTATACAGTTTGTATGAATGGATGGCAAATTATGACATGGTGTTTTGATGTGTATAAGAGAGGTAGAATAGCTATAATAAAAATAGAGAGGATTAAGGCTAGTATACCTCCTAATTTGTTAGGGATGGATCATAGGATTGTGTAGGCAAATAGGAAATATTCTGGTTTCATCTGTGCAGAAGCAATAAGGGGATTTTCAGGAATGTAATTATCTAGGTCTCCAAGAATATCTGGGAAAAATACTAAAATGATGATAGCAATTAAAAGTAGAAATACTCTAAATAGCTCTTTGGTTGTATAGTATGGGTGGAAGTCGATTTTGTTTGCATTGGAGTTTAGGCCTGATGGGTTGTTAGATCTTGTCTCATGAAGGAATAAAAGGTGCACTACAACTAGAGCAGCAATCATGAATGGTAAGAAAAAGCAAAATGCAAAGAAGCAGAAAAATGTAGCTTTACCTATTTAAAAGCCTCCTCAGATTCATTCTACAAAAGTTGTGCCAATATAGGGGATAGCTGAAACTGGTAATGAATGTAGACCCTCAGAATGATATTTGGCCTCATGGGCATACATATGCTATGAATGCTGTTTTTATTACTTGTATAATAGACTAATTCCAATGTTCCAATTTTTACTATAGTATATGAGCCATAGTAAATCCCTAATCCAACATAAAGTAATAAGCAAATAAAGAATATTGAAGCTCCATTGGCATGTAGATCACACAGACACACACACACACACTTACTATGTTCAAAACTTTTTTAATTAGATAAAAATGGAGAAATGTTATAGAATAATCTTTTTGCATATTTTGAGGATGTATCTTTTCCAAGGCACCTTCTGACTGGTTTAATAAAAGAACTGACTGGCTGGAAGCTAGACAGGAGTTATAGTTGGGACAGTCAGATACACAGGATGCTGGGAAGAAGGGGATAGATTCTCAAGAATTCTGAGAGACACAAAAAGAAGCAGAATGAATGTGTTGTGTTGAAAGAAGTTACCACCATGGGGCACAGTGTAGATAAGAAATATTGGTGAATTTAAAATGTAAGAGTTAGCTATAAATAAGCCTGAGCTATTGACTGAGCATTTGTAAAAATAAGTCTGTGTGTGGTTATTTGGAAGCAACTTCCAGGACACAGAGAAACTCCACCACATTCACCAGTGTTAATTAGCATTTAATTGTTCATATGGCTTTATTTTTATAAGTACAGCCTTATTATTTTCCAAAACAACCATGGACAGCTATATGTTGAAAATAAATACATTCCAACATTGTTCTAATGGGAAGGTTATCTATTATTCCCATTAATATCATTTTGTGTATCCTTCCGTTTCCTTCTGGACTCACATAATAAGCACAGGAGCAGAAAATCCACCAACACCAAAGTATCTCACTGAATAAATGTCTATCCTTAGATAAACACTGAAGCAATGAATGAGAAGAACATGGAAGAGGACTTTGTGAGTCTAGATAACCATAAGGTTGCACAGGAAAATCTGACAATACAATATAATCTACATTTTAGTAGAATCCAATGGAGAATATTTATTACAGATTAATTATTGTTTCAACAGACTCCCCATAGAAGAATTATGAAATGAAAGTTGATGATTAACATATTTGACTTTTAATGGTACTTGTCAAACATCTGCTTATTAGCAACCTAGTCATGATTTTCATTTGAAAAAGTCACTTCACATATCCACAGTCTTTAGTTGTTCATTTCTTTTTTTCTTTTTTTTCTTATTTATTTTTAAGTTTAAATTTAGATTAGAAACAAGGTTGCTTCACAAGTCAGTTCCAGGTCCCTCTCCCTTTCCCTCCCCTCCTCCCGTGCCCTCCCCTCAACCCCCCATTATCCCCTTATTTCCCCAGGGAGGGTGAGGCCCTCCATGGGGTGACCATAGTCTGTCATTTCATCCAGGGCAGGGCCTAGACCCTCCCCCAAGATTTCAGGGTGAGAGTGCATCTCACATTGTTGGATGGGAGTCCAAAGTCCATGTGTATACTCGGGATGAGTACTGATCTACTGTCCAAGGCTCAATAAATTACCCAAGCCTCCTCACTGACACCCCCATTCAGGGGGTCTTGATCAGTCCCATGTTGGATTCCCAGGCACCAGCCTGGGATTCAAGAGTTACCCTTGTCAGGTCAGCTGTTTCTGGGGTTAAACCAGCCCAGTCTTAACTCCTTTGGTCATCAGTCCTCCCTCTCTGTTACTGGCTTTCTTGAGTCCAACTCAGTACTTAGACATGGGAGTCTGCCTCTTCTTTGATCAGCCACTAAATGACGTTTCTGTTTCCCAGACTCTCTGGCCATAGGATTGTAGGCTGGCACTCCCCAGATCTATGCCTAAAATCCATATATGAGAGAGTACATGCCATGTTTCTCTTTTTGTGACTGTGTTACTTCACTCAGGATGGTTTCTGCTAGTGTCATACATTTGCCTGCAAATCT